TGTACACTGGAATAAACCAGTAGATTCCGAAATTGCCAATTATTTATTGGCCAACCGAAATTAAAGCCATCGGGCTTACGAAAGAAAAAAAAATTTTTTTCTCACATAGAAATAAATAAAAAATAAATAAATAAAAAGTATATTTCCATAGAGCATTTGTAGAGCGTCTAGCGAATAATAAAATGGGCTAATGGATACAAATGATCAACTGTGACATTAATACAAGTTTAATATTTTTATGTATCGGTCAGCTGACGTGTTAATAGATTCATATATATTGCAATTTCTAAAGTTATTTATATTAATGACCCTTATTTTTTTAAATCGCAAAATTACCTTTAATTTAAGATAGAACCAATGTGTCGCATTTGAGATACATCGTCATCAATCTTCATTATCACCTCCATTTCTATCCACTTAATTCGTCATGATATACAATCATTATTAGTTAAGCTACTCTATTTCTTCTATCACCACAACTATCATTACAATTACTATTATTGTTATTATTTTTTTTTTTTAAGTTTTAATCTGATAAATATTCTAAGAAAAATTTTAATAATAATAATAATAATAATAATAATATGTTAAGAAATTTTGTAGCCTTATTATCTATATTATTAAGAGAATAAGCAAAATTTTGTGACCAGTGTATTCATATGATAAAATAGGTTTTTATTTTTATAGTCAATTTATTAAGATAAGTATTTACTCTCTAAACATGAATAAGTGAATATTCACTTATTTAAGTGAGAACCGAACCACTGACTTGAAAAAGTGGCTCGATTGGCACTTAAGTTAAGTGAATATTCACTTATTTGACGAATTTTCACTAATTCAGTTTTAGGGAGTAGGCTGCATTCGAAAATACTCTATCTCTAGATACATAATTAAAAAATGACCTTGTATCTTGTGAACTATTGACATTTTTAAAGATATAAGCTCATCCCGATGTTACACTCATCAAGACTTTTCATTTGAGTACACACATCAATTTTTCATATATTTATATATATTATATATATGAATATATGAAAAATATATCAAAATGCATGTGGGTACTCAAATGAAAGCTCTTGATGAGTGTAACATCGGGATGAGCTTATATCTTTAAAAACGTCAATATTTAAGAAAGTACAGTGCAATTTAACAATAGTCATTATTTAATAAAGCAAAATTTTATTTATAGTTCACAAGTCACGGCAGTCACATAGTGACTGGAAGGTTGCTAGTTATCATTATTATTATTATTATTATTATTATTATTATTATTATTATTATTATTATTATTATTATTATTATTATTATTAGTATTAGTATTGCTCTAATTTATTGCCAAGACGTGTTGAATAAATTGATCGGCATAATTCGCCCGATTTGATAAGGGAAATATTCAGCATAAATTGAAATTGATAGACTCGTAGATATGTATCACCGATCATGTATTCGATTTGTATTTCTCAAGATTATTTCAATGAGATATATCCAGCCACTGCTACCTGAGCATGCCAATAAGTATTTTTTATTGACGCAATTATGAATTATTTATGTAGAAAGTTCAATTCAAATCAAAATATATTGATTTTTATTCGATATATAAATATCAGTCCATACCAGCTACGAGATACTAGCGATTTTACGCATAAATAAGTCTATACTGCTTATTTGAATGACAATACATACCCCACTGGTGTGATGAAGTCCGCATCTGCAATGAAATACATCACAATTAATAAATTAATGTCAACAACTCTGTAATTAACTAGTATGATGTGGTACTTGAAATAGCAGACATCTGACATTTGTATTTACAGAAAGAATTTGAATAGTTAGAGAAGGAATATGATTAAAGCTTAAGCTGTAGTTGTACATCAAGAAATTTTATGTTATGTTTGTAAAATTTTATATTATTCAGAATTTTTCTTAAAAAAATTACTATAAAGAAGATTTAGTAAAAAATTCTACTTATAGAAATATCAGAAAATTATTGATAGAATTTTTAATAATTTATTGGTTTAAAAAAATTATATAAAAAGTATTAATTAAATGAAGAAATGATATTGAAATTAATAGGTATCTAAAAACTTATATGATTTTTTTAAACAATTGAATTTTTTTCAAAATTTTATGGATAGAAATTTAAAAAATATTTTCTTATACAAAAAAAGATTAGAATTTTTTTAAAAATAAGTAATATATAACAAACAAAACTTAGCGAAAAAAATTCCACTTCCAAAAATAACAATTTAGTCAACGTTTTTAATTTATTGTTTTTTTTTCTCATTAAATTACAACTAAAAAATATTTTTTTTTAAATTGCACTTGTATTTTTTAAACTTTTTTACAAATGAAATTTTTTTTTAATTTTTCTGTCATAATTTTTTCAATAAAAAAAAATTATAAAAATTTTTAGATGGCTAATTTAATTTTCACCTTCCAAAAATAAAAAAAAATTTATAAATGCATTTGTTTAAAAATTAATTTATTTATTAAGTAAAGCTTAAAAATAATAAAGAAGTGTCATAACACTAAAGTTAGCCGACGTTTTTAATTTATTTTTCAATTATTAAATTAGAATTAAAAAATATTTTTTAAAAATTGCACTTTCAGTTTTTTACAAATGAACATTTTTTTAAATTATTTTGTAATTGTTTTTTTAATAAAAAAAAATTCTAAAAATTTTTAGATGTCGGCTAACTTAATTTTCATAGAAGTATCTTTTGATTTCAGTGTCATAAATTAATCAAATGTCTTCTAAAATCAGTATCATCATCAACAGAAGACTTTCAAATGACAATTGATTTAATACTATAACTACCAAGTACGAAGCATAATAGTTACATATTACCAGTACAGAGACTTTCACGCGCATATATTTACTATTTACCTTGTTGGTCTTGTCCGGCGAGCAGCTGTTAGTCGCAACGACACACCAGTTGTCTTACAACAGCTCCCACTCCTTAGTGCTAACCCCGAGACCGTTCATTCACTTAATCAGAGTCCACATTTATACAAACAGCATTATTATCGTAATTACAACCATTATTATTAAAATTATCCCGCAATTTAATTCATTGTTTAAAAAATAAGTTAGAATAGTTTTTCTCGCTAAGAACCGCAATTACTCGTCCCGGAGTATTAGTCATTGGAAATAACAAACCAGACTCTCTCTGACCGAGGGTGTCGTCGACGTCTTCATCTCGAGGTTAGCGTCACGCGCCGGTACCAAAGAGTTCGCACTACGTCGGCTATCCCCGGCAATTTTTTAGCCACCGCGACGGCGCCAACATTTCGTCGCTGTTATTGCTAATAAAATTACCACCGTCGCAATCAACAGGATTTTTAAATTTAAACTCCAGAAAATTGAAGCGCTTTCTGCTACTTGATCGTTGGGAAAAATTCCGACGTCATTGAGAATTTTCACTAGAGTTTTTAAAGAATTAGCAAAAGTGTCTCCGGTGACACCGTTCCCGCAACAGTCGAATGACATTTCAATTTTGTTTATTTAGTTATTAAAAACTGACACGCCCCGTCTGATACTTCCCGAATTACGCCTTACAGACACAAAATTATTCGCGGTTGTGTGTATGTTCAATGACACTCGCTGGTTTAATGTTTAATGATAAATATTTAAATTGCACGTGTGGTTGTTATCTGTTATGTATTGTGTCCTTAGCGCTTTGTATGTAAAAATAATAAAATGGAGGCAAATACGAATATCTGGATCAGTGCTGCTAATCCTGCTGGTGGAAAAAATTGGTACTAACTTATAAAGCGCGCTAAATTTGAAAGCGCTAAAGCTTTTTTTTCACTTTTTTTAGATTTTCTCGAAATCTACCGGTCCGAATCGGTTCAAATTTTCAGGAAATCTAAGTTTAGTGAAGCCCTTTCGAATGACACCAAACGCGATGAAATCGGTCAAGTCGTTCAAAAGTTACAAGAGGTTTACACACACACACACATATATATATATACACATCCATACAGACGTACGGACATCATCGTAAAAATAGTCAGGGAAGATTCTTGTGACCTTCAAACGTCGAAATCTGATGAAAACTCGATTTTTGTAAAACGGGGTGAAAACAATAACTTCCCGATTTTTGAAAATATGAGATTTTTAGCGGGAAGTTAAAAATTAAAAATGCAATTTTTTGTTGTTAAATAAAATTAAAAAATTGTCAACTGACTGCTAACTTTAATGCTATGTTTATAAAATTAAAACAAGACTTTAATTAATTTTTTAATTATAAATAAAGTTATTTAAAAACTTATTTTGGCTGTAAAAAGGAATAATGTAAACTTCAAGATTCCAAACTATGGTACTATTGGTTTGTTATTACGTCGATCCGTTTTTGGAAAGAATTTCCATCAGAAATTCTAAATACACCGAGCTTAAACATTTTTAAAAATCTAATATTTGATTACTTGTTTGATTTAGATACTTGATAAGTTTATTTTTTTTTGTTTTGGTTAAATTATATGAAGAAAGCAGTATGAGAATAAATAAAAACTTAAATATTATAACTAAATTTCAAAACATGAACCTTAGTCCACTTTGTATTGTTGTTCTATAGAGCTTTTCGGTTAACTCGATAAAGATTAAGATAAATATTAAAATTACTATTATGAAAACTGTATTGGAAATAATTTTCCCAATATTTATCGTACTTTTGTACATAAAATAATAAATTTATAGTTTATGTAGATTAATCTAGTTTTAAGACTCCACTTCACTGCAAATGCTGTTAATATTGTACTTGTATATTTGCCATTTGGTTATTGTGCCTTGGCATAAATTAATAAATCTAAATCTATTTTTTACAGATAAATTATTTTAATTTCATTATTATAAAAAATAAAATAAAATTTTAATTAACTAAAGGATTTTTTTAATCATTTCAAGATACAATTTTTAAGTCATTTTTTGAAGTATCATTTATTTTTCAATAAAAACTTAATTTTAATTTTTACTGGCTAATTAAATACAAATTATTTACAGTCTTACTGTATATAATACATAATAAATAAAATATAATGAAAAAAGTTTATATTATTAAAACTATTTTTTCTCATCATTCAAATTATATTTAGTCTTTAACTTTTCCAAGTCTTCCATTTTTTTGTCAACGTCCACCCGTTTGAACGCCTTATTTGACTGGTAGTAGAGTACCACCAGGTATCGGTTACATACGTTGAATCCGCTTAGATGGTCACACGCGTTTTTGGCGTCGAAGATGTCTTCATAAACTACAAACGCCGTTCCTCGAGTTTCTGCGGTATTTCCACTAAAAAAAAATAAAAAAAAAATTATAATCAGAACTAAAACAACTACGATTATTGAATGATACTAAAGTTTTAATTTTTTTTATAAATTAAATTAGAACAAAAAAATATTTTTTAAAAATTGCATTTACAGTTTTTAAAGTTTTTTACAAGTGAAATTTTATTATTTTATTTTTTTGTAATAATTTTTTCAATAAAAAAATTTCTATAAATTTTTAGATGTCAGCTAACTTAATTTTCAACGAAAATTAAGTTAGCCGACACTCAAAAATTTTTTAATTTTTTTATTAATAAAAAATTAGAACTAAAAAACTATTTTTAATAAATTCCACGGATAATTTTTGAAATTTTCTACATGTGAAAATTTTTGTTTTAATTTTTTAAAAATTATTTTTCAATAAAATAAATTTTTTCAATAAAAATTTTTAAATGTCGGCTAATTTAATTTTCATATTATTGAAATGAAAACAAGAATAACAATAATTTGTTCCAATTAAATATTTTAAATAAAAATTTAGCATTTAGATATGAACTTACACTCTTATTTGTCTGATCGCTCCATACTTTCCAAATATATCGTACATTTCCTCAGCTGTTATTTTATACGGAAGATTTCTGATGTATAAAACTCGGTTGACTTCTGGAGGCAATCTCACCTAAAAAAATAATTTTTAAATTCAATTAATATACTTATAACAATTTATAAAAAAAAGTGTATCGAAAGACATAAATTTAAAATTTGAGGTTAGAATATGATAAATTTACACTACTAAATAATTTTAAAAGAACTTACATTTGCGCGACGTTGAAGCATGGCCATAGTCATCTTGAAAAGATTTATTTAATTAAAAACAAAAGCAAAAAATTATCAGAAGCTTATAATGCTTTTAATGTTTCTAGTTTATTAAATAAAACTACCGACGCGTTCAAGAGCAAGATCACAATTAAACGCAGCAATTACGTTTGTGTACATACAGAGTACAGAATGTACAGAGACAGTGCTGCCAACACCAAAATGTTTAATAAATCAAAATAAATTATCAGGTGGCGCTTCTTCCTGTGTACAAGTACGTGATGTGTTGAATATGACGCAGTTCATTGACATTTTATAAATAATTTTTTAACTGACACGTACAGCTTTATTTTTAAACACCGGGTTGTTTTTATTTACATTATTTTTAAATTCTATTGTTGAAATTACCTAACAAAATGGAGTACATAGAAAAAATAACCGGGTTTTTTTTTACCAAGCAATGTATGAAAGAGTACTTTACTAATTTTAATTTTTTACATGGTAAGTACTCCAAATTAGACGTATTGTTTATTATTTTCATTATTTATATTTATTTCTAACACTTGTTTTTATTATTTTATAGTTGAATGTTTCAAAGCTACGCTCAGCAAAGTACTTGGTACTGGAATTATTGCAGGATCTCTTACTGGTAATTAATTGACTATTTATTTTACTTGAGTAATAATTAAATATATTTATCTATTTTTTTTTTTTTAGTTAAATTACCACAAGTATTTAAAATCTATGCCAATAAAAGTAGCCAGGGAATTAATTTTATAAGTGTTTTATTGGATTTATTTGCAATAACTGCTATGGGATCATACAGTTATGCAAATGGATTTCCTTTTAGGTAAGTAATTATTAATTAAAATTAATATATATTTTATTTCAAATTATAGTAAGAGTATTAGAAATCTAATCAACTTTTTTCATGACATTAAAGTTAGCAATCACTTAACAATTTTTTAACTTTATTTATCAAAAAATTATTTTATAAAATTGCATTTTTTTATTTTTTAAAATTTCTACATAACAATTTTTTTTTCTCATAATTTATTTGCTATAAAATTTTGCTTTATTAAATAATGAATTTTGTTAAATTGCACTGTACTTTCTTAACTATTGACGTTCTTAAAGATATAAGTTCACCCCGATATTACACTCATCAAGAACTTTGATTTGAGTACCCACATGCATTTTAATATATTTTTCATATATACATATATATCCCATATATAAATATATAAAATATATGAAAAATTGATGTGGGTACTCAAATGAAAGGTCTCGATGAGTGTAACATCGGGATGAGCTTATATCTTTAAAAATGTCAATAGTTCACAAGATACAAGGTCATTTCTTAATTAAGTATCTAGAAGTAGAGAAATATGAAATAATTTTTAAATAAATTTTTTCATAATAATTATTTGAATTATTAATAAAATTTCAGCGCCTGGGGTGATGCTGTGTTTTTAGGACTCCAAACTTTAGCAATCGCACTGCTGTGTTTGCATTTCAGTGGTGAAACAATGAAAGCAACCGCATTTTTCTTCGGTTATATGTCAGTGATACTTGGAGTAATAACTGGAATGGCGCCTGTTAATGTTCTTTGGGCTTGTCAAAACATAAACATTCCAATAATTCTCCTCAGCAAGGTAAATGCTCAATAAAAAAAAAATATATAAATGCATAATATGCTATTTACGTTTGCGTAAGAATGACAACGCGTTTTAGTATGCAATTGACTAGTAAACAGAATACAATTATTTTTAATTTCTGATTAAAGTTCTTCCAAGCCCGGACTAATTACAACAATTCAAGTACTGGACAATTATCAGCAGTGACGTGCTTTATGCTCTTCTTTGGATCACTCGCTAGGATATTTACGTCGATGCAAGAAACCGGAGACACTAGTATGATTATTATGTACATTTGCTCCACTACAGCTAACGCTGTTATTGCTGGACAATTGTTATATTACTGGAATGCTGGTGATAAAAAGACTAAAAAAAAAGTTAAGAGTAGTAAGAAGCAATCGTAATAATAATTACCAGGCGCTAATTAATTATTCAGTTGATAGTATTTACTTTTATGTTAATTCGATAATTGAAATTTAAAAAAATACATCGAGTTAGACTTCCAGTTATTTTTAAATTTACATTTTGTACATTTGTTAAATAGAATAAATACTATTAGTTGTTACTTTACTGTTCTGGTATATTTATTTGTTAATTATTAATTTACTTGAGTTGATAAATGGAGCATTGATTTGTTTATAGTATGCACTTAGTGTCATTGGTCTACTTCCATATTTTTCTATAGCATAAACAAGTTGTCTTTACGTCAACTTTTATTTACTTGTTATATAATCATATAAAAAAATTTTTATTACAAAATTTCTATAGTAATTTAAAAAATTACGATAAATGTCATTGAATAAAGATATAACTTGCTTAGAAATATTTTTAATAAGCCTTGTAAGTGTAAAAGGTGAAGAATATTTACTCTAAAGAAATTTAAAGACGGTGTGAATGCGCGTTTCTATTTTTTTTTTAGAAAAGGTCAGACGTTGGTGTTATATTATACTAATTTAAATATATGATCGATACACTTTTGGCAACAGTGAAAAGAGATATGATAAAAAAAATATTTAGTTCTTTTTTAATACAAGCAAAGTATTGATTTATTCAGTAGTGCTTAAAACAGGGAGACTAAGAGTTGGAGCACTTGGATGGGAGATCTTTTCAAGCTGCATTAATGCTTCTTTAGCTTCTTCAACGACCTGAAGATTATTTTCACGAGACGCCGAGCTAAATAATTCAATGCAGTGGTGCATTGATGATGCTCCTAATGGGTGAGGATTCATCTGCATTGTCTTCAATGTCCTCAGCAATTGCAAGTGGCATTCGGGATTCTGTCTATAGAAATTGTTACTGTCCATATATACGTTGTACAGTAAAGATATTATTAATTCCTCAGTTACCTAAAAATGATTTTAATAATTTAATAAAATTAATATTGATAATTTAAGATTAATAATAATAGACTTACTTTGTAAAGCGGTAGCTTTATTAAACTCGAATACTTGAAAATATTTTGCAAACAATGCAAAGCTTCTTTACACAGATCTACGTCTATTGATTCTTTGTCTCCAACTGAATTGTCAAGTGTTAAATCATTTTTTATTTGATTGTCTCTTGTTCTTTTAAATGCCTTTTTAGATGTTGCCGTTGTTTTTTTTATCTGAAATAATTTAAAATTTAAAATTAAACAATTAAAATTATCAATACCACAATATTTAATTTTAAAGCAATTTTTTTTTTTTTTTTTAGTTAAAAAATTTTAGAGATACTTACAGTGAGTAAAACTTGAGACTTTTCAGGAGTAATATCTTTTAATAGCCAAGGAATAATATCATCACAAATGATCTCAACTCCCGATAAACCATTAAGGTTTCTCATCCAAACTTTCAAACTTTTATAAGCCGATAGCCTGACATTAGTAAACGGCTTTTTACCCCCGATAGTTTGATTATCTGATCCGTTTGTCCAATTCAACGTATGCTTGTATAATGGAAGTATCTCGTTGGCAAATGGAACTAAATTATCCTTGAATCTAAATCATAAAACACATCCTCTTATTTTAAATAATTAAAATTTAATTAATTTATAAACCAAGAACTTACCCTTCGATAAAAGCATTCAGGACGTTGAATAAACTGACATGTAATTTCGGGAGAATTATATACAGGATTTGGTTCTGCACCGAGTCTTCCTTGAGCAAGCTTGACGGAGAAATATTGAAACCACGTTCTACCAGATTGAGTATATCATTGGGGATCACGCTGTTACTTTCTCCACACCCACTGAATAATTAAAATTAATTAAAACTTTTCACCCAATATTTATAGAAATAATTTTAGAAATTTTTTAACAAATAAATTATGGCAAAAAAAATTTATTAAAAAAATTTCATTATTAAAATGAATCTTGTTAAATTGCACTGTACTCTCTTAAATATTGACGTTTTTAAAGATATAAGCTCATCCTGATGTTACACTCATCAAGAGCTTTCATTTGAGTACCCACATGCATTTTGATATATTTTTCATATATACATATATATATATATATAAATATATAAAATATATAAAAAATTGATGTGGGTACTCAAATGAAAGGTCTCGATGAGTATAATGTCGGGATGAGCTTATATCTTTAAAAATGTCAATAGTTCACAAGATACAAGGTCATTTCTTAATTATGTATCAAGAGATAGAGCAACGATACTAAATTTAAGCATAAAAACCCATTTTATCATATAAATACACAGGCCACAAAATTTTGCTTATTCTCTTAATAATATAGATTATAATAAATAAATTCTTACTGTAACATTGTAGACAAAAAGACACAGAGATTCTCAAATCGTCTTTGGAGCTTGAAATAATACTCCAGGACATTTTCTTCAGAAACACTCGGCAATTTTAATTTAAATTCGTCAGAATTGTTTGACTTATCGTTAAACAAAGTGTCCAATATTTCGTCAAGGCTGTTACAGATCAACAACAAATTGTAAGTCCAATTAGTGTACGAAGGCTTTGATTCGATGGGTTTGAACGAACGTTCAGTAGCTCGGGTCAGTAAAGTAAAAATATTAGCGCCTGCTTGGACTATTTCTTCACTCTGAGAGTCTATCGTAGGAAGAATCAGTTCTCTTATTGATGTCTAGAGTAAAAAAATCAACAAACTGATTCTTGATAAATTAAAAATTGTAATTGAATAAGTACCTGAAATTTTTCAGTAGACTCTTTGTAGTAATGGAGTAAAATAGCAAGCGGGTATAACAGACTCGTTCCCTTGTCATTTATATCAAAGCTGGTGATAAGAGCAGCCAGTGGCTTGATATTATGGATCGATATCTCTTTTGCTAGTTCCGGTATCTGCTTAGACACGATCAATAGTTCTCCCAGCACTTTACATGCTAAAGACAGTTCACCTGGCTCGTAATTGCTCTCCAACACCTGGACTACTTTCGATATCCAGAAGGTTCCGTATTTCAGGAGCACGTCTTTTGAACATCGTGGGAGATATTTTGATAGTATTACTACGCCGGTTACTCGGGTGTCGGGTTTATTTAAAAATGAGTTTATTTTGCTTATTACTAAATTGTAAAAGTCGGTTATCTGGAATTAAATAATTATTTTAGAAAATTAATCCAAATAATAATGAAAATTAAGTTAGCCGACATCTTAAAATTTTTAGAATTTTTTTTTCATTGACAAAATTATTATAAAAAAATTTTTTTAAAAATTTCATTTGGAGAAAAAATAAAAAAACTTCTAGTGCAATTTTTTAAAAATATTTTGTTCCAATTTAATAAGTGAAAAAAAAATTTTTAAATAAAAAACATCGGCTAACTTTAGTATTGTCAAATAATAATAATTTAAAAATAGACGGTAAGTATAAAATAGGAGTAAAAAAATAAACAAAAGTAGGGTTAGAATAATAAATTTCTCACCTCATCACTTAAAAATGGTAAATCAGAACTTGTCGTCAATAAATTTATAGTAAAATCTTTAGATTTATTAACACTGTCATTTACTGAATTTATTAAATCTAATACTTTTGCCATTATTTATATATATTGATATCTACTTTAAACCACGTGTGACACTTGGTGTGTTTACTTTTCAAAACTGTTGAACGGTAGATTATACCCTCAGAGGTTATAAACTTAATAGTTCCAAAAATTCTTAAATTTCATCAGAATTTTTTTAGTTTTTTTTTTTATAATTTACTCTTTAAAAAGTTCTAAAATTTATCATATGACACTTGAACATCATGAAAAAATAATTTTTTAACTTGCTAATTTTTTTTATAAATTTAAAAACTCAAGAATATTACATGATATTAAAGTTAGTAGTCGCTTGATCATTTTTTAATTTTTTTTAATAAATAAATTTGCTCCGAAAAATTATTTATAAAAAATTGCATTTTTTATTTTCTAAATGTCAATTTTTTTTCCTCATTTTCTTTGACATAATTTATTTGTTGAAAAAATTCTTAAAATTATAAAATATGCTAAATTAATTTTCATGAATATATTAATATATTACAAATTTTTTACAGCTACAAAAATTTTTTTTAGTTTTCATTTAACTGTATCCCAAAAGCATCACAAAAAAAATGTTGACTTTTTGGTAGATTTTGCTCAACAAGTAGTTAACAAATTAATAATTGTCAACTTAAAATCAACAAAAAAAAAAAATTTGTGCCGCTTGGGATATTTAAATTGCACGTTGCGCGCGCACTTTAATTTCGACCAATAAGAAATCATTTTTTTTCCCGATAAATCGATACATATCGATAAATTCAATACAGAGCAGACTTCAATTCATTCATAAAAATTTTTCACTCCTTTATAATGATAATAATAATAATAATAATAATAATAATAATAATAATTGTTATTTAAAAAAAATAATATCAAATCAGATGAATCATGTTATTTAATTAATTGATTAGATTATAGAGTATAGACCATCTATCTAGCACAATAAGCAGGTATAGATGGACAGATAACTAAAGACTGTGCAAATAAAACATTTCCTTGAAGCTAGAGCTAGAAAATAAAAAAATAGATATCACCGATTATATCTTATATCACCGGGTAAGTAATGTAATAAGTATCTAGTCAAAGACCCGGAGTACTTGGAGTACTTACCGGGTGTGCGCGAGTTTCAATTGCGCAGGGACTACTTTTTTTTGTCTACCAGAATCTGAGCTCTGATTGGAAGAAACCGCGTTAGTTGATGGTTGATGGTGTTGGTAGTTGTAGTTGGCACGCCATTGCTGTTGCTGATCTAATACGTCTTTCCGTTCGCCACATAACAGTTGGCCATGATGGCCATTGTACATTATCAATAAATATTAAAAGGCTATATTTAGCATTTGGACTCTGATACGAAAAATATCGTCTGATAATAATAATTAATTAAAATAATCATCAGTTGAGCGAGTTAACATTTTTTGAGGTGAGTAGTGAATTTTTATTGAATTTAAGGATTTATTTAATTATTTTTATTTTTTTAATCTCAAAAAATCTAACGTTCAGTAATTGTATGTAATTGTTCTATATATGAGATTCAGTACTTAGTATTCAATTGCGCTGTAAGTAATACCTAGGTAAAAAAAAAAAAAAAAAAAAAAAAACGAGACTAGTGTTGAAACTGCAGTAGCAGCAGCAGCATCGTCTTTTATTAAATAGCTGATATGAGACAGAGAGACAGATTGTCGACCATTTTGTTTAAACGGTTTGATCGATAGCGCGTCGACTTTGTTTTATTATTTCACAAATTATATATTTTATAAAAAATATTATTGAAAAAAAGTAAGTGAATTTTTATCAGTTTATTTAACGCTGATAATTTGAAATTAATTATTAGCATTATCATCAACCTGGATAAAGATTTTTTTTTTGGTTAAATTTGTTCGGCAATTGGTGATGCACGAGATGTAGATCTCCAGAGAGCCGACTTGACCTTCGATATAGCCGGTGTCTTGATATGATAAGAGAAAAATCATAATTGTTATTGATATAAAGGAGGTATTTGAGGATATAGAAGGTCTTTGAGGATTTTTAATACCAATTGCTGGGGATTTTTAAATTGTAAAAGGAAAATACCATTTTGGATTTGTGCAGTATTGCAGACTAGGTATCACTACGGGTCACCATGGATTCTATGGACCCACGGCTAGTGGGACAGGCCTTGAATTACCACGGTCAGCAGTTGCAAAAAGTTTGGGAAGGTGAACGCAATGAAAATGAACTTGCGATGCTCAATCTTAAAGATCCGAGCTTTGAAATTTATCAACAACGTCAGAAGACCCTCAGGTAAATATTATTACTACTCTAATTTATTTATTTATTTTCTAGCATATAGGCCTATAAAGATGCAAGAGCATCTGTACATAGAGAGCTAGATATTATATTAGATAAATTATCCTATATTATACAAAATATTTAAAAATATATTTTTGAGTCTCGAGTGAAAAAATGTCAGTTTTTGATGTTTTAAGAGCCCTCTCCAAAGAACAGCTCAAAACAAAAATTTTAAGAGGTCGCTCCAAATTTTTTTAAATTTCAAAAATCGAATTTTTTTCTTTTTTTCATTTTTTTTCTCGTTACGTCATAATTTTATAGACAAAAAAAAACTAAGCTCCTGAAAGTTTCAATTCAAAATTTTAATTTCGAAAGGTCGCTCATAATTTTTTTTAAATTTTAGAGTCAAAAAATGCTAATCCAGTTAAATAGTCACTAATAAATTTAAAAAAAATTGAAGTGACCTCTTAAAAATTTTTTTTAAGCTTCCCTTTGGAGGGAGTTCTTAAAACATCAAAGACTAACATTTTTTGATCCCTAATATATATAAAAAATACAAGATGCATAAATAGTTTGAGAAAATACTAATATTGCACAAATTTCTTGTTCTATTATTGTGTTTGTTTTTTACTTATAATTATAATTATTATTTAGTAAGGAAAGCTGCAGTTAATTATAAAAAAAAAACATTATTTTTTTATAGTTTTGGAGACAGAGGAAAGAGACTTAAACTTCAGCAGTTTATTGCTAAAAAAGCAGATACTGTTTATGACAAATCTAATTTAGACAGAAGTGCTGAACCAATCAAGCAAGAGCTTGGTGATGAAGGTAATTTTTATAACATTAAATATCAGAGATTTATAAAAAATTGAGATTTATTACAAATTTTTAATATAAAAATTAATTACAGAATTTTATGCAACAATGCCGGGGCTTGATTCATTTGTCACGATGGAAAAATCACAACGTATAAAGAATTTTCTAGAAGTATGTAGCAAAATTTATATTTTTATGAATGTACTAAAATTATCATTAAATGAGTGTTTAATAAATTTTTTTTTTTTTTAGAGTTTAGTAGCAGGAGACATTATTTTTGCACAAGTTATGGGCAAAAGTGCTACTGGATTATTATTAAAAGTTCTATGTAATTGCAGCGATTGCCCGAGAGTTGTTGGTGATTTAGGGATAAAGGTATGACGAGTTCAAACAAGACAAATTTTATTTTGGAGCAATTAATAATTATTTACTAATAATTGACATAAAAAATTACAGGCGCTGATATTAAACTCGGCAACAGTACCAGCCGTTGACAAGAAAGGCGTAACTCGGGGTTACATGGCCAATGATCTGGTCTGCGTGGTTGTTAGCGAAGTAAACGTTGACGCTGAGCGTATCGTCGCTGTTATGAATGTTTCCCCTCGAGACGGACAAGCTCCGCACCCTCCAATGGGTCTGATACATTCAGAAGACTTACCAGAAGCCTACAAGTAAGTTTTATCTCAATTTTATACACACAGACTTGAAGACACTGTCCAGTTTTTTAATAACTGTAACCATCACGTCGTTTAAATATTTTTGTGCTAAATTTATCAAATCACTATTTGAAAAAATTATTCCAAAAAATAATTAATTTTCAAATCAACAGTTATTTTATTCAATCAAGATTTAAATTTACAATGCCATAACAATTTTATTATAATTAAATCAAGGGATAATATCAATGAGATACTAACGATTCGTCAGTAAATCAGATTGTTTGATGTCTCTGATAAGTTTTTATGAATCCAGGTGGCAGGCAATCGGTATAACATAGAAAAAAATATGTTCAATAGTCGATGAGTTTATAAGATGATGAGTTTATGATTTATTCACATATCTATGTAAAAAAAAAAAAAAAAACTTTGAGACAATGAGTTTGAATTTTTTGATTGAAAGTTTATTGGTAATCACGGCTGTGTTATGCACACACCTCTACTTCACATGCAACCCATTGTTGTTATCTACGTTTGTGACTTAAATGTTGCCAAAGCACCAGCTGAAATATTTGTTTAAAGCCACAGATAAGAATTGAGTTGAACAATCCTCTGTGATTGAACTTAATATATATATATATATTGATTACAATATGATGTTGCGCCTGTTGATGGCGTTTATAAGATTTCATTGTCAACACGGTAGGTATAATAAACTTGTACAGTTGTTTGGTCTTCATTCTTATTTTTTTTTTTTTTTTTTTTTTTTTTTAAATAACTTCAATAAAATTGCTAATTAGTGTATATTTTTCTTTATTTTTTTTTTGTCAGCAATTTTAAATTTAAAAATAAAAAAAAATTGATTAAAAAATTATTTTTTGTTTGAGAGACCAAGCAACTAAAAGTTTCAACACCTTTACGGTTTTATTTAATATCTAGAAAAAAATGTTATTAATTGATAACGATTTATCAGTTTGTTACAATGATTAATGTCTAATTTAAACTTACAGCATTGACAAAAAGTATAAAAAATAATGTAACTGATGTTGACAATACCAATGAGCTATTTTATTTGACCAACTTGGGGACGTAAAGCTCAGGCAATTTATTTTATTGCACCAATACAAATTATTTATGTCTATACATTTATGTTGATGTATATTATTAATAAAATAGTAAATTATATAAACAAAGTAATATTAATATAGAGCACATCAATAGGCTGTCAGTGCGTTACAATGTTGACAAATGGTAGAATAACATTAAAAACAGTATAATATATATTTTTATAAATATATTTCGTCTTATACATCAAAGGTGAGAGACGAGTTCAATAATTAGGTTGTTTTCTAACGTTATAGTCTAAGAAAATAATAATAATTAATTATTATTATTATTGATTTTAATTGTAATTAATATTTAACTGAATTGAATTGATTTAATTAAAATCTAAAAGCTATTTTGAAATTATAAGTTAAAGGGAAAGCTAAAGAAAAGGTGAAAAATAAAAAGCTAAGAGGTTTAGTATTTGACGCGAACTTTGGTTTGTCGTCCGGGGACCCAGTGATTTAAAATAATACAGAGCCGTGATACTGCGGCAAGTAGCAAGGCACCTTTAACTTTATTTACATCTGGCTTTATCACGTAGGAAAGCGATGGACAACAAAGGACAGAGTTATGAAACAATCTTGGAGAAAAGTACTGGCTTCAACAATCCCAACAACATTAAATATCTTAGCGACTTGATGGGTCTTGGACGGGAACACTATTCTTTAATGGTGGGCTTGAGGTGAATATCAAAAACCAGTTTAAAAAAAAAAAAATAATTGGTTTTTAAAAATTTATAAGAGATACCATTTCAAGCTCATCGATAGTGACTTGTCTGATGTAATTTCTCTCTTGTGGTTCCAGAGAACGCTTTCCACCCAATGAATATGCCAATGAGTTGAGACAGACACAGGCTAGCAAGTGGGCTTTCAAGAGCGTTGCCGAGGGGATTGATCATTTTAAGGCTGGACGACATACTGAAGCCTTTCAGTGTCTTAACAAGGCACTTACTGTTGATCCCAAAAATGTTGAGGGTCTCGTAGCACGTGGTGCTTTGTAAGTTCTTTTTTATATTACTATCATTCATAATTTTTTCTCATTTTTAAATATTTATTTTTTGAGTTTTAAGGAGGTCCTTTCGCCATCCATGTTAAATAAAAAATATTAGATTATGCATAAAATTAATTTTTATCTAATAGTTAAAGTCCTTATTTATCTTCTAGTGAAGTTTAATTTATTCTTCACCGTGCGAATTTTTGAAAAAAAATTTTCTAAAAATGTTAGTATTTTTTCCGAGTCTTACGAAAAAGTCAAACCTTAATATAACAACTTTCTCGAATTATGACATTAACCACCGATTAGATAGAGTAAAAAAAAATTCAAAATAAGGTTTTCGAAATATTCAGGTTTCATTTTTTACAATAAAATATATAGGTTGCCGTGGAATTTATGGAGAAATTAAAATTATAAAATTACAGAAAATTAATCTAAACTAAACTTTAACGCACTTATGTTTTTCATACATACTCATTAATTAATATATTGTTAACAAATTTTCATATTTCATAGTTGAAAAATAAAACAATAATTAAAAAATATTAGCAATCCTGCCATGAGACATTAGAATGTTATGGTTTTAGTTGAATCACGGACAGGTTACTAACAGCTGATTTACAAGAGTCAAATTAATTTTTGTATTTAACTATTTTTTTTTTTTAATTTTCAAAATTTCAACGATTAATGCCTCATACACTATCTATTTTTTAATTTTAGAAATTTTTATGGGTTTTTTTATTTTAATTTATCGAATATTGACTACTACAGTTATTGTGACTCAACTGGAGCGAAAGGACTTCCTTAAAATTAAAAAAAAGAATTCTAGTGATTTTTTATTTTAACACTTGATAATTTTTTAAGTCTGAAGTATATTTATAATTATTTTTTCAATCAGATATGCCAACAGTGGAAGTTTTAAAAAAGCAATTGAAGATTTTGAGACAGCTTTAAAGTTGAATCATACGCACGCGAATGCGCGAAAATACATGGCCGAGACTTTAGTAGCTTTGGGACGTAGTTACGAAGACGAAAAGAAGTTTGAGGAAGCTCAAAAAGCTTATGAAAATTGTCTGGCTATTGCCCCGATGCATGAAGAGGCCAGAAACTCAATTGAATATATTAAGACCAAAACAACTGGTGTAACTGGGGCACCATTTAATTCTTTGGAGCCGTTCAAAACGTTTGATGGTGAAGCCGAGCAATCAGAGAGTAAGAAGGACAAAAAGAAGCGCAAAAAAGAGCGAAAATCAAGGTCCAAAAAACGGGCCAGGTGGAGTTCTAGCTCAAGTTCTTCATCCAGTGGATCCTCGAGCTCTTCTAGCTCTGATTCGAGCAGCTCTTCTTCTTCCGGTAGTTCTGGTAGATCAGCCTCGCGATCTCCAAACCGGAAGAGGAAGCACAAGAAAGATCACCGCGGCTCACTCTCGCCGCTCAGTAAACGCATGGCTCAGTACAATAATCCTCCGGCTGCTTCTGCTAGCAGCGGGTCTCACGATCCTTTGAGCTCGCAATCTTACTCTGGAAACTCGAGGGAAAAAATGGATGATTATGAAAGTAAAGTAAGGAAATTCCTTGAACAGACTAAGGATGACAGCGATTATGAGGACAAAGTATGTTTATCTTTAATTGAAATTATTTTTAATGATTTTGCTGTTTTTAATTTATTTATTAATTAATTTTAATTGACAGGTAAGAAAGTTTTTGGAGGAGACAGCTCGCTGGAAGCGCGAGAAGGAAAAGGAGAAAAAACATTCCGAGACAGATAAAATAAAAAAGAAGAAAAAGAAAGAAAAGAAGGGCAAGGATAAAGAAAAAGAAGAGAAAAAATCACGCAAGAAGAAAAAGAAGGAAGAAAGAAAGAAGCGTAGAAATAAGGATAAGCTTGAGCGTGATTTAGAAGCGCTTAAAAAATCATCGTTGCCCGACTTGGAGCAACTAGAGTCTAAATTGAGTGCTTATTACGCTAAAGTGGAAAAAGAAACCGCCGTGCTGAAGAAGTAAGTTTTTAAAAACCAACATCCTCTCATCTATCCTATTTTCTTCCTACTCATTTCTTTTTAACACAGCTTCTAATAATTATTTTTTTATTTTTTAATTAATCTTGCACCGTGATGAGTTCTACGTAAATATCTAAAAAGATTGTCGCAGCTTTGTGTTGAAAAAAAATTGTAAATTGTTTAGTAGATACCGTTATTTTGTTCCTGTATTTTTTTTCTCTTATCATCCTACTAGGTTTTACGCTCAGTATAATGAAATGCCTCCTTCCCCTCTTAGTAATGCGGATAAACTTGCCGAAAGCTCACGACGAGAGGAAGAAATGCGCAGAGAAAAAGACCACAGAGATCGCGAAGATGGTGCCAAAGCTTATCATGAACGAGATCCTAGAGTACCGATGACTTCTCAACAGCGTAAAGGTTAATATAATCATTATTTTATTTTTACTTTTACTTAAGAATGTTCATGGAATTTGCAATCAGATAAAATTGTCTTGAAATATTTTTATTAAAAATTATACTTTAAATAATTTGTTTATAAAAATTGTAAAATTGAAAAAAAAAAAAATCAACACGCTCATAAAAAAAATTATTAGAATTAGAATTTAGAATTTCGTTTATTAATTAATGCCAAGGCTCAAGCCAAATGACAATTTCAATACATAGTAAATAAGATTAAGTAGATTGAGAGTAGATAAATACAATCGCGAATACATAAAATAATAAAAATTTGATTAACAATAGTAGAAGATACCAATTTATCAGATAATGATTAATTTGAAGCTAATAATACAATTTATTTCAAAGAGTTCAATCACTATCTCAGATTCATAAATCTGAGAATTTTACTTTTCAATTAAGGTAAAGTACCCAGTAGTTGAACAGGTTTCAAAGTAATACTCATTTGACCCTACTTTTAATATATAAAGATGTAATTATTAGTTCAAATTAGTGATTTTCATAATAATATAAACAATTTTTTCATAAAAAAAAATAGTGTCTATCGGCGATTCTATAATTGTTTTGATTTATAATTAAAAAAACTTACAGAAATCCATTACTGTATCATTTAATAATTATTATAATATGCGCATATTATTCATAATATATTTACAGATTTTGTATTATAACAATTTGAAAAGTTTGTTCAAGTACTGGTCCCATTTTTATAAGTGTTCAAGTACTGAGTACTTTACCTTATCAAGATTCAATAGATAATTATAGAATTACCACATGAACATTCTTAAAAATTTTATTTCTTTACCCTATTTTTCGTCTGTGAAAAACCTAAAAAATCTAAACAATTAAACTCAAAAATAAATTTACAATAAATAGGAACATACAACGATTACCTTGCAGAGGTTCAACGGAAGCCAATCCCAGACCTCTTTGAGCAAGACTCTCAGCTGATGCATTCAGAACCGAAGCTTCCAACATTAGACACCGCAGCACTTAACGCAAAATGGAAAGCAGCGCAAGCTGCGCGTCAAAAAGAGTCCTCCCACTCAGTGGGTAAGTGGCAAAACCTCCACCCCATAGACAAGAAGACAATTCACATCGACAGTGATGACAATCGCGACATGGACGAAAAGTTGCAACGCGCTGCCGTCGACAAGTCTTTCAACGTCCGTAAACAGATGCAGCGTGAACTCCAGCAAGACAAGCGATCGAGCCAGCCGGTGATGACCCCAAATGTTCCTGTGGCTAAAGAACCCGTTCCGAAGCAAAACCCTGTAAAATATCCCACGCCTCAGCCGCAAAATAAATTTCAATCTTACAAAGACAGTACACTGGCTCCCCAGCCGTCGACCAACAGCAAGTTTACCTCGAATCTTGGTGGGAAATTCCAACCCATCGGGCAAAGCCATCCCCCAGAGCCGCCACTTCCGCCTTCGACCAAAGCACCAAAGGGTCCAAGGTCAGACTCTGACAGCGAGGATGACCACTCTAGACAGCCGAGAAGACGCGCTGGCTCTCGTGGTCCGATGATTAAGCGTTTGAGCCGCGAACGTCCAATGAGACGCTCTCACAGTCGTTCTAGGTCACGAAGCAGCTCCAGTGGTTCTCGGTCCAGGTCACCGCGTCGGTCACGTTCCAGGTCCTACTCAAATCGTCGTTCTGGGAGCTACGAGAGAAAGTACAGCCGGTCTCCATCGGGAACCTACAGTAGGTCACGATCGCGCTCCAGGTCGAGGTCTTACTCGCGAAGTCGCAGTCGTAGCAGGTCTGGAGACCGCGGGTACTACCGGAAGCGACAGTTCCGCCCGTACAACAACAACCGCGGCACCTATTACAAGCCGAGGTTCCAGAATTTTAATAATCAAAATCATCGTGGTGGGCCGGGAGGTTTCCAAAATCGTAATAGATTTTACAATAATAACCAGCACAACAGGTTCAACAATAGGAATCGCGGGTACAATAATCGTCTGAACAATCGTGGTCGTGGAAATAATAATAACAACAACCGCGGAAGATTCTTCCACAACAAACCAGGCTACCGCGACTTCAGAGACCGACGAGATTTCCGTGACCGCAGAGGAAGCTCCCGGGACAGATACAGCGACCGCAGCTACTCGCCAGACCCGATGAGGAAGGTCGACGAAGCTAAGGAAAAGATTAACAAAATGCTGGAGAATCACGATGGTAACCACGAAGGCAGTGCGCCACCTCCACCCCCGCCTCCGTCTAGCAAGAGGCACGACGGCCCGCTGAGTGAAGGAGAAGAACGCGACGAGGATGATTACGAGCGTTGGGACGCCGGGGCTGGTGACAACGCCACTAAGGTTGGTTAATAACCTTTAATCTCTCTGCGTAATATTTATTCTTCTTCACAAGCGCTTACTATTGATGATGATCGCGATGATGATTACCGGCAATTGCAATTGATCGTTATGAAGAGAGAAGAGAGAAAAAAACAAGTTAATCTCGTTTGTTGTTAGAAGGTGAAGGTCAAAAAGGAGGAACAAGAATATGAGGAGGTTCGGAAAGAGGACTCACCACTCGAGGGAAAGGATCACTTTATTGAGCGCATGAAGCAGCGCAGTAAGAATGTGCTGATCAAGCGCGAAGCTGCTGCTAGAGTTTGGTAGAAATCTTCTATCATATCATTTTTAATTGATCGATATGCACTAGCTCAACGATTTTTAATGTCCATGTCCACCTGACCCACCTTTTTATTTTTATTCTTCTTACTCTCTTCAATACCTAATGATCAACTGCTGCTATTGTCAGTGATATTTATTAACGCAGTGGCGGATATATTACAGTACATTTATTTATATGAATATATATACATACTTATATATTTATATATACATAATTTTAATTAAATTACGTATACAAATATATATAGTTAGATTTTTCTTGTTTTTTAATTAGATTTTCTTAGTGATAAAATTTGATAAATTTTTGATGGTCTTGATAAAATTTTTTCACTATTTTTTTCTTCTTAATAATTGCGATCATCATTATATTAAAATAAAAATAAAAAAAACTTTTCATGCCATATTTGTAATAGTTTGGCCTAATTTATTAATCGTTTAACTTTATTTTTATTTTTAAAGCGAGAAAAAGTACGGCTTTCACAAAACTAACGTGACGTTAAGAAAAGTAGACGTCTTGTAAAATGTTATTTGAATTAGTAACTGTGTAATTTCTTCATTTCCAATAAAATGGTAAATAAACACTTATATATATATTAATAATAAATTGATAAAAAAAAAAAAAAAAAAAAAATACATGTAAATCTTGAAATGGAAAATATACAAATTCCTTAATGAAAGAAAAAAAAATAAATAAAAAAAAACTTACCTTTTTTTTTTTGGTTGTAGATAATATTTTTAAATTTAAGCAACAGATAAGTTAATTATTTAATTTAGTTTCATTTCTCCAGAAGTAATGTCTCTGATAATCAAAGAATAATTGCTAAGCAGGAAAAAATAAATTTGTTTAATTAATCGGCGTAACCAGTTTAGTTTCCTTTGGTTTAATTACCTACTTGACCAGTAATTTGCATCAACTATTTGTAATATAAATGCCAGCGAGTGTACTGGACACTTTACTAAAAATTAAACTTTCAACGATGAAGTTTTTGGTAATATTTTTGCTGGTATCACTTGAACTATTTTACGTATACGCTCAGTGCGATCAAGATAATGTTTCAGTCGACTCCGACGACCAAATTCAAGGTACTCTATTTTCTCTTTAATACAATTAATAATTTATTTAAAAAAAATTGAATAATTGTAGGCACAAGTCTCAATGATCCTATGGAGTGTAATAAATTAGAAGAGATTAGTTCTTGTAATGGTAATCCGGAATGTCAAAGAACTTGTGAAAATTACTCCGAGGATCCGAATGCTCCAGGACTCCCTTGTCCTCGGTCTAAATCTTGTTTCCGAGGATGCGTTTGCCGAAAAGGATACGTGAGGTTTCAATTATACGGACCGTGCATTCATTTCACCAGGTGTCCTCGTGTCAGACATTAATTTATTCATTTCCCTACGTTTTCCTCGATTTTTATATGACTATTATTATTATTATTATTATTATTATAAATTAATAATGATTTATAAATAAATATTAATTAATTAATCAATCAAATTATTTTAGAGTTTTTAGTCCTCTCATTTCTTATAAAAATTAGTGTTGAATTTGAATTTAAAAGTTTTCGCGCCATTGGCGCTAAAGTCGCTTTTTCAAATAAGCTGCGCGCGCAATTAATAGCTGCCTTCAGATCAGTCTGGTGACCGTTACAATCAAATTCAGCTCCGCGAATTTTCCAGTTTAATGACATTTAATGAGCTTAATTAATGACAGCAGTATTTTAGTTGGTGGTTTTAATTATTTTTGAGCTAGGGAGTAATAAAAAGTATAAATTTATTTGCAGGTTGTTGTGAAATTAGTAAAAGAATATGAAGCTGACTCAGCGGTAGTTGTGAGTACCCCGATACCGTCTTTTGTTTTAAATATATAGTTATAATAATACTGAAATCTGGAGTTAGTTAACAATTGACGATTTTTTTAGATTATTTATTATTATTATTATATTATGAAAAATAATTTAGCAGATATTTGATAATTTTAAGAATTTTTTTAATTAATAAATCAAAAAAAAAATTGATATGTAGAAATTTTAAGAAATTAAAAATCCAATTTTTTATAAATAATTTTTTGGAATAAATTTATTTGTTAAAAAAAAATTATAAAATAGTCAAGTGTAAGCTAACTTTAATGTCATTATTATTATAAACAAAATTTAATTGAAAATGCTTTATTTCGAATTTTTTAAAAATTGAATTAAAATTTATTTTAGTACTGATTTATTTGTTTAAAAAAATAAAAAATGGTCGGATATCTGCTAACTTATTTATAATATTGAAATAAGCTAACATCTGACAGTATTTTTTTATGAAAATTAATTTAGCAGTTATTTAATAATTTTTCTACTAAATAAATTACTGAATAAGAAAAAATGAAAAAAAAAAAAATTGACATTTAGAAATTTTGATACATAAAAAATGCAATATTACAAATTATATAGAAAAGAAATTTGTCAATCAAAGTTTTTTTAAAATAATTTTGTAACAAAAATACAAAAAAATTGACAAATGTCAGGTAATTTCATCATAACTAATTATCATAGTTATATTTGAGAGTGAAAATTAAAATTTTCGATTAATCAGCCATGAAGAGTATATACAAATTTTTTTTAATGAAAGAAACACTCGTATGTAGGATCGTAGGTAGTCTGTTGTTTATGTTTATTCATCCGCGTCATTTTAATCTTTATGAAAAAAAGGCAAAAGAGAATAGGAATCCATCAAGAGATTTTTGTTTGAATTCACATTTGGTCATTGAAACCTAAAAAAAGCGTCTCGACGTTAAAACTGAAGAAGATCAACACACGGCTCCCGGAGCATTTCAATCGCTCACAGTCTCTTTGCCAGCGGTTTTTTTCACCTCAACCACAAAGCCGGCTATTGTTCCACTTCTTCAGCGCCGGGTGTTGTCTGTTTCTCAGATGTAGATCTAGGAGGCCATTCTGAGAGTAAGAACACCAAAGGAAGAAACGGAACAATCCTTTTTTGCATAAGTTCGCCATCAGATACCTCTTGATCTTCATTTGCTAGGACTTTTAATACTCTATTTAATAGAATCTCCATTTTAGCAACCAAATTAACCCATTTGATTGTATAAAAATTTGACTTTTTCGAGTAACCCATAAGTATTTATCTTTTTCAAATGTTTCTATTTAATCATTTTAAAAAATAAACAAACTGCTTACAATCAAGTAAGCATAATATAAAGTACCGAGGTCTGGTTGAGCTCATGAAAGCTTCTAAACTTTGAAAGGCCATGAAAGACACACGAGAACAAATCAAAGTGATTTTCACGACGATAGAGGAGGGGAATAGATCAATGGTGATGAGTATAAAGCTTCGGAGCTTTCGGGCTGGTGAAGGCAAGAGTAGGAGTAGCAGTAGGAGGACGATGAGCATGTCCTCTGAGTTTCTATTGATAAACTCTCTTTATATACTCTGTACGATCTGTGCTTTGAGTCGGTGGTAGTTGACGGTGGATATTGATAATATTGAAGAGTCCTGAATGCCGGTGACTGGTGAATACGACAATACACCCAGCCGGTGATTAATGGACTTCCGGCGACTTTTATATTATCAAAGTAAGATGTCGAGTGCTACCGGTACAGCAAAAGGTTACAGATAAAGACTTGGTTCATCGATTTCCAATGTTAGGTGTTTTTAATGATCATAAATCCGAGATTCAACATTTCAGATCAACTTCCTTTCTAAATTTGTATCCTAAACTTTTATTTTTATGTTAAATCTCTATAAATGTAATGTATATAGAGGGTACACCGTTCTTAGCTGATGTAACAATGGCAAGTTTTGGTATTGAAAGAGAACCACCCCAGAGTTGGTTTCCTTTGTAATCTGACGAGGCTTTGTACCGATTATCTGCATACGTTCGTGAGTAAGGCTTTCCTAGATTCACCAGCACGGTATCGCAACCCCTTTGCCTCAAATATAATGTAGGTATAGATACATTAAGATATAGGTATTGCAACCACTTTTCCCTCTGCTCCGTCGTCATCATCTTCGCTGAAAGAGGGAATACAGGACACGTTGCTGCACTCTGCTCTGTATAATGTTATACTTATATACACTGAAAAATTTCCTTTGAAAGTTCTTGCACAGTTGAGCGTAATCCCGCAGCCTTTCCTTCAACAACTTATTTTACGAGCTGGAACCATCATAACTTACAAGCGATTTCGTCTTTCGAGCTGGTACTTTTGTCGCTATATTGATATTTACAATTCAAATAATAAATTTTTATATTTATCACTATTGGTCATGTAATTTATAAACTTTACTTAGGGTTAGGATTAAAAAAGATGCCAACATTAGAATTCATTTTCTAAATTCAATTTTTCTAATTTTGAAAATTAATTCTATACTGGCTATCTTCAAGCTCCAAAATTTAGATATTATATTATAGTCCCTCGGCTGAAGAGGGAAGCCCGTACACTGAAAAAAAAATTAACTTGATTCAAGATGAAAATTCTTGAACCAAGAATATAATTTTGAAGAGGATAATTGTCTTGAATTAAGAATTATATACTTGATTCAAGAATATTTTTTTTTCTGTGTATGCACTTTTAGGTCCCTGGGTTCTGATAACTGATATTTACGTATTTTTTGCTAAGGATTACGAAAAACTAGGTTATTTTTCTCACCGATGGTAAATTTAATTGTTAATAACAATTTAATTGTTTAAACCACTACAACTCAGGAATAGCTGATTAGACAGGGAAGTTTATCTGAAAAAAAATGTTTAAAATTAAAAAACCAACAAAAAATGGTCTTATCAATTTTTTTTTCAGTTTAAAAATTTTTCTACTTAAATTAAGACAATTGAAATTTTTAAAAAATAATTTTCTTGGCTCAAAAATTTTTCTCTTGAATCAACTTAATTTTTAAACCGTCCCTTTGCGGCCTAATGACGTAAATCACTATTTCTAACTCGTAAAAATAATTTTATAATAGTTTCAATAAACAGTGGATGATACTCTTGATTTATCGAGCGCTTGCGGACAGGTAAGAGCAGAGGATGAGCGTGTTGTCACCAGTAGAGACTGGAAGTATATCGGTGAAGAGAGTGAATGGGTTAATAGACTTTGAGCGCGGGGGGTAGTCGTGAGAGAGTTCGAGAGCCAGAGGCACGCAAGCTGGGAGGGATATCCGGAGGGTGTACGTACTAGAAAGCGGAAGAGATAGAGGGCTGAGGGCAGAGGGGAGGACGGAGAAGGAGGGCTGTCCACGGGCAACTCGCTCAATTCGCCAGCTCGCTCGTTCGCCAGCAGCGTCATCATACGACCTCTTTGTTCCCCGACAATTTCAGCGGCATTGTCACCGTCAACAATGTCCACTTGACATTCGGTTTCTTTGTTCCACGCATTGTTAACTCTATCCTTGGCTCGGTCTTTCAATCATAAAGCTCATCGTAGACTGGATATACCTACACGACTTTGTAAACTCACTTTTCATATCTCTTCTTCAGCTTCCATTCCTCCGCTCCTCTTCTGCCTCTTCCGCCTACTCCGGCTCCTTTTGCATCTTAATAACTGACCTTTTATCTTATTCTTACCGTCTCGAGAGACTTAACATACATCTAAACTCGAGAGTATAATATACTTTTTTAAAATGCTACGTTTATTTTGTTTATTTTTAACTTACCGCTTTTCGGATTATTTATCCTTTTGTAATTAATTATGAGAAAATTATTTATATTGTTGATAAGAGTAGAGTGAAAGATGTAATTGTTGCGTTAGTGCTTATCAGTCTGGAGAATATTACACTGATGAAATAATTAATTTAATTCAACAGAAAAATCTTAGATCAGGAACATCATTCTGAAGAATTTATTTTGAATCAACCAGATTAAATTCTTTAATCAAGTAAAATTTATTTAAACTAAATTTTTTAGTTCAAAAATTATTATCAGAGTACGGACTGATCATCCCCTCAGAAAATTACAAATTCGATAAATAAATATTTAAATTGAAGAAAAAAATAATTGATTCAAGAAAATTATTTTATCTCGATTGGAGAATTTTTTATCTTTCAGCGAATAAATTCGAAATTTGTAGATCACCAGTTTAATATCTTCGTAAAACACACTGAGAAAAAGAAAAATTATTATCCGAAAATAAATTCCTTGACTCAAGAATAAATTGAAATGAACCGTTCAAATTTATTAATTTTTCGACTAAACAAATCAATATTTTTTATGAGCTTAATCTTCTCAATAAGTTTGATTGATTAAGATCCTCAAAATTCAAACTTAAAAATTCTGAATAAAATATTGAAGATACAAAAAAAAAATTCAATGCACTGCAAAAAAATTCTTATCAATTTTTTTCTTACTCATTATCAATTCAAAATTAAAATTTAAAGTTCTAATAAAA